GGCCAGATTCCGCGTGAGGCCGACGGCACGTCCTGCCCTGGGCCCCCGCGGCGACTGACGCCGCTCCGCTATCGAATGCTGCCGTGTGGTGTTCAAAACTGCGGCGGAAACCTACTCTGTTTCCAGCTACACGCTTCCGAATTGTGTCGTATCTGTCCTGTCGTTTGAGGTTTACCTGCCTGTGCTGATCCTTCGGAGTGTGCAGTAAATCTGGTTTCTCTTTATTTCTTTGCACGCCTCTGTCAGCCTAGTGACTTAAGGAAGCATCGTAGAAAGGTAACACAGCTGTGACGTGACACCCCTTTGTTTACCGAGTGTCGGGGTGCCTGCCGCCAGGGGGATGCGTGGGGTGCCCGCGTCGCCCAGACACGCCGCCACCTCCGAGGCGGCTGCTGCATGGGAAACGGCCCCTGGCGGCCTCCACGGAAGCCGGGCAGCCTCCGCCCCCTCGTGGCTGCACCCCGCGGGGTGTCATCGGGGAAGCCACGCTGGCAGCGCTGACCACGCACGTGGGGTGTCCCTGGAGTGTCCCTGGGGGCCTGCGCTGCCTCCCTGTAGGCCTCCCGCCGGCGAGACCCCACGCCCCAGTGAGCACAGGTGCCTTGGCCTCAGGGAGCCCCAGCACCCCGTGACCGGCAGGGCCTCTCCGCACGGAGGGTGCGCGGGCCTCAGGGCAGGCAGGGCAGGGGGCAGAGCAGTTCACCCAAAAGGGCCCAACTTTCACGCTCTGGCCCCCACCCCAAACCAGCCCGGGCTCTCAGGACAGTGCCGCGGCCTGTCCCGTGGCCAGAGCCGTCGAGTGCGTGCCCGGGTGGGGCGGGGTGCCCAGCGGGGCGGTGGCCATTGGGTCACTTAGCGCCGGCGGCGACAGCGACCTGGGCGTGTGGCGGCCCTCTGGTGTGCCGTGTGGCGCAGCGGCGAGCGTGGCAGAGCCCCCTCTGTGTGCTCTGGAGGCCTCCGGCAGCCCGGGCATGAGCCGCGCCCAGGGGACAGCCCGCTCCGTGCCCCTGCCCGACCCTGCGGGCTCTCGGCCTGGCCGCCGGCCTGTGGGGGTCATCATGGTGGTGCCGCCTGGGGAGGGCCCACCTCCTGCCACGCAGCTGCAGCGAGGTCTCGGCTGCTCCGGCGTGGGGGTCATTTTAACCTGACTCTGAGATCTGCCCCCTGAAGTTCCCATTCATGACCTTGGTTTCCTGGTTGGGGTCAGGAGTTGGGGAGGGGTGCAGTGCCCACGTGCCCGCCGCAGGGGGGGCTCCTCCCGCACTCGCCACCTGTCAGCCGCTCCTGGCTGCCTGTCTGGGGGTTGCCTGCCCTGTCCCAGGGTCCAGCCCAGCCTGACACCTGAGGAGCTGACAGGCCACCCTGCCGGGCCCCGGGCCTGCTTAGCAACTCTGTGGCTGCACCACCCTCCTTCCTGCTTTCGCGTCCCCCGACAGAGAAGACGGCTGGAGATCGCCCTCGCGAGTGGGGGCGAGCCGCATCTCGAGCAAGCTCGTTTCGCCGCCCTTTAGTCATACTCAGCCGGGAGAGTATCGAGACCTCAAGGCAGACGCGGCTGTTGGGGCAGGAGCTTCGTCCCCCCGACTTGCTACTGGCCAGCAGCTCGGCCAGCACCAGGACAGACGCTGGGGCCCCGGCCCCGCCCCTAGCGCCCCTGGGCGGCGGCCTCTGCCTCGCAGGCCCTCTCCAGCGGGGGCCGCGGCAGGCTGTGCTCACGCACAAGGCAGCCCTTCGGCGGCCTCGGGATAGGCTAGCTCTGCTCGGCGCGCAGGGCGTAGATTTTCCAGGCGGTTTCTGGCTGGCGTAGAGCCCGTGGCGGGGGCCGCTGTGGCCGCCTGACCGACGCTCCCCTCCACCCTCAGTTGCCGGCTTCCCGAGAAGAGGTACGCGATGACAAGACCACGATCAAATGTGAAACCTCGCCCCCGGCCTCCCCGCGGCCCCTCCGGCTGGACAGGCTGCACAAGGGCGCGCCGCACACGGTCAGCCACGAGGACATCAGGGACATCCGGAAGTAAGGAGCGGGCGGCCTTTCCTCCGCGGCGCCCCCTCCAAGGCGCTGCTCTTCCCCTGGGGGGAATGCCACAGAGACTGCCAGGCTAGCCGGTCGCGTTTATTAGGGGCGTCCTTGGGGGTCCAGCCCGAGTGGCCAGGCCCGTGTCAGGGACACGTGTCTGCCTGCTGTTCGAGGAGACACCACCTCTCGGGGCCCCTGAGTCTCAGCAGAGCCCGTTGCCAGGCTCCACTCTTCCACTCTGTGGGCCCTCGGCGGCCGTGGCCGCGCCCCCGGCCCGGCCCGTCCCCCTCTGCGCCTCTGCCTGCCTTGTGCTGCTGCGCGAAGTCCAGGCCGGCGGGGTCCCCGGCCGCCGCGGG